GATAAGTGAAATTAGAAATAAGGGAGATTATTGTTTGCATTTTTTATATATTTTTGCTGAAATCCTAGTTCTTTACAAATATTGTCCCTGCAAGCTCACTCACTTTCTTTTTGAAGGGCAGTTTTGGAGCCTGTTGATCTTTGTTCAGATCCCCACAAACACGAATCAAAAGCACAATACAAAATCTATTTTTGCATGAGCCGAATACTAATTCATCCATACATGAAGTCCATTTTTGATTTCTCATTACAGCAATTAGAAACTTACTTTGGACAGTGTTAGATAGATGTTATACATGTAAATCATCAATGCATTAACATTGATGTTAGTGTTCTTGACTTGTCTTTAAAGGATCAAATGACCAGATTAAACAAGGGACGGGATTTCTCAACCTGGGGTGCTACAGCGAGAATGCCAACTATATTTTAAGTGCTTTGGTCCACTTACTTCCGAATCCTGCTTCAACACCTGGGACCTTTTCCAGAAATCTAAGCCTCCAATTTGACAATGCCTTGAACAACAAGTGCTCGTTTTCTTTGCATACCTTATATCAGCGGAAATATTTCATAATGTAAGTGTGTTGAATATTATTTTAAGGGCAAAAATATGAAGAGTCCTTCAATCCTGTACCTCAGTCAGAAATGATTTTCTTCCTTACATGTATAGGTCTATGGAAACACCCTTATTGTTCATCATACTCATGAGGATATTGACAGGTACAAGTATTGTGCCTTTTAGTATAGTTTCTTCCTCAAAGATAATTTTACACAGGGTGCAAAGAAAGTCGTTTTTACAGCTTGCCATTGGGGCAAGCTGAAGCCAGCATTTACAGCCCAAATGTCATTTCAACTAGCCCCCAAAATGTTTTGATGAACAGAATTGATTTCGCAGAATTCACCAGCCCGATAGCAAAATCCACTAGCCCCGGGCTATCGGACACTACTTTGCACACTGAATTTTACAACAAAGATACAACAATGGACAAAACAGTCAGCCGGCCGGGAGGCCTATTTAAGGAAACTGTTAATAGCGCTCTTAATGTTAACTGATTATTCCCTGTTTTATAATCAACAAAACAATCTCAGGTAGTGCAGTGCACACCTCTAGGGAATAAAAGATGTCAAACCGTATGTTAGGACATTATAAATTTCTGTTTTCTTTTAGATCTATAACTTGAATCTTAGCAACGTTTTATCAATTAATTTACTATATTGCTCTGAAAATAATTTTAACAAACATTTATAGTTAAAAACAACTATACAAACAACATTATATTGATATGCAAATAATGCACAATGAGTAAACTTATTTTTACACGATTAACCTTTTTGGAATGCATTGTTTAAATATAACTTGCTTGCATTGTTTGCGTTCTTGCCTTATTGTTGTTGTTTTTGTAAAAAAATATGGTTCAAGTTTATGGTAGCATAAACTGTTGTTAATAAACCTGAGAATGCTGCACTATGAAAGCACACGTAGGACATACTAGCAACAATCATTTCTCTGTTCTTATGTCACACAACGTGCAACGTGGATAAGCTTTTGTACTAAGTAATAGTAGATACTAGTTCAAAGTACAAGAAAGAACAATGAACAGTAACTAGTTGTTTGATTACAATGTATCCTTCTTCTTTGGCAAAGTCCACTGTATCTTAGCATGATATATTACTAGACTTCACAAAGGTTCCATTCATATTATCACATGCTTATCATGCACACGTGCTCCTCTTTTTGCCGTACACTGTCCTTTCCTAGTCAGTTCTCTTAGGGCTTCGGTTCATTCACAACAGCGTTTTTTCGCCAGCTCTTCTTCCACACAAATTGCTTCGCTTAAATCAACTTACATAACTTGGCAAAGGCAAAGGAGGAGTATCAATCGTCTAAATGCCGTATTGGATGGCGCCAACGTACCAGCAGAACCAACAGACTACAGCGCCATGTCTACCGAAGCTCTTCGCCTCATGGTGGGAGAACGTCACCTCCGGCAAACCGGGAATCACCTTGAACTTATCTCGCGACTACAACAGAATGCGCAGCAAAGACCCCCCTGCATCACAATCAGCAAGTGCCTCGTCCAATTCCAGTATCGCCACCGCAAATTTCCCTTTCGTAAACGGTCGTTGCCATATATCGTTGATATATCAAGGAAAGCCACGAGTACAAGTAACAAAACTATAAAACAATAATTGATTGCATTAGCTGTGGTCACACTACAGAATTTTTACCTAGGTAAAGTCGACTTGTTGATAGTTTACCTCGGGAAACTCAATTTTTTAAGTATGACCGATTTTTCCCCAGGTAACTTACCTCGGGGAAATTTTATCGTCTGGAGCTGGGATATGTCTCGAGAACAATAGAGTTTCCCTTGACAGCTACCCCAAAGCGATAGCTAGGGAAAAAAGAAATACCGAGGTTCCCAGCCAATAGACGCTCATCGGCGAAGGTCTTGATGACAGAACCGGACATAGCTCACGCTGTGAAAGAAATTTTGGGGGCACACGTGTCATCTACAAAGGTCATTTTAGCTCAAATCCGTGATGTCGCAGTTCCGAGCAAGATTGTAAGTATCTTTTGAGACTTGAAATTCAATTTCTTGTCGGCGTTTAGAATTGTTGATGTTGGTTTTTACTTAATTAAGAATTTTTTTTATTACAGAATTGGAAACTCTCTATTCTCAAGGTGATTCAGAACCAACATTTTATAATGGATATCTCTTCAATAATCGACACGAGATGGATGCAAGGTAGTCAACATCTTATTTACCTCCAACAACTGGTCCTATAAACCAGGCCGTGGAAGACTACAGCGCCTTTTCATTTACATACAATTATCCACAACAGTATCAGCTAGC